GGATAAATCATCCGTAATCAACAAATTAAATAAAAAATATTACCACTAATGTGCTTCAACTTGTTTGGAAAACTTTATATTTGATGCATTATTTGAGCATGTATAACCATGTTTTGGAGTGTAGATTTCAGAGGGAAGCAAAAACAGTTATGAAATATAATCCTGCACTGACTGTTTAAAGAAAAGTTAAAAAAATATATAATATCCATCTCACTTGTTGCAATTTTTTTAGTGGTATATTGTACATCTATTTAAAATTACAGTTAAAATATAGCTTCATTAAAAACCGTTGATTTAATATTTTAATTCAGACAATCATTTGAATCAAAGTTTTATTTTTTTATTTAAGTTGTTTAAAGTCGAACAAACTGAAAATACGGTTCTATTTTTCCCTGTCCTTTTTTTATCTGTGCTTTGTCCTTGGTATGTCTTCTTTTACACTAGTAAATCAAAGCTTTGTTGTTCCTTGAAGGACATCAACCACATCACAACATACCTCTTCATTTCAGGTATAGTTGTCTAAGGACACAACCCGTTTTGGGTCAGTGAGTCAAGTGAGGTCACTTGCAGATAAAATACAACAGGAAGTGAAAATACATTGCTTTAATATTATTAATATATCAATACTCCTAAGAAGTCACGTTTCATTTGTTGAGTGCCAAAACAACCCTATTATTTGTTGTTTTTATTTTGTGTGTCACACTGTTTTAGTTAGAAGTCATTGACCTTGTGTGTATTTTGTTAATTTTTGCTGATAACACTTTTTGTAGTTTTGATAACTTAATAGCATATACTGTACACCCATTATTTTCACTGGCATTTAATGTGATGATTTGCACAATTTCACTGTGTTTTGAGTCCATGAACAGAAATGCAATAAATTCTATTGTTATTTTACATGTTTATGTGGATTTAATTTCAGTAGTGTATTTTACTTATCACTGAAAATAGCAAACTTCAAAACCAGTGAATTAATAAAGCGTTTACAGTACAAGGACAAAATTCCAGGTCATGGCTACACAATTTTGCACTTTTCACTGACTTTTGAATTTAGCAAACATTTTTTTTATCGCAAAATTAGAGTATTAAAGGAATTTTAAGTGATCTGCATCAAACATTAAAAACATTTTAATTTGTCCCATCTTTTTTGGATCAACATGTCAAATAACACAGGTTCTGCACATGTGATTGCTACAAACTACATTTTGATTTTCATAACTTTTACCAAAGTACTAAAACGCTTGGTCAAATGTTGTCATATTATGCATCTTTGTATAGATCAAATTTACACCATATTTCTGCTCAATAAGAGAGTTAAGAAACTTTTTTCTCTGTGGAAATCATGTCAAGGTTAAAAATTTCACTTTTATCAAACTTTCTCCACTGTGCATGTGTAATTTGATTATTTCTGCCTAATTAAATATGATGCCAGTTGCCACCAAGTGTGCCAGGTGTTAGAAATGGATACTGCCTGGTGATATCCACAAAGTCCTTTAACAAAATCACTGAATGCGTGGATGAAGTAAATGGCCGTGGTTAAAACACAGCCATGTGTTTAGTATTTCTTTACTCTTAAAATGTTATTTCGTTACTGTTTTTGGATTCTATTGTCATCATTATACTTGGCGTATTGTAGGCGTTTTTGGCAGAAAAGTTTAAAATTACATTGCCATTCCCTTGTGCAGAAACACCAGGTTGTGCAAATCCTCTGGAGAATTTTCATGCAATTATATTTTAAATCTATCCAACACTTGTGGCCTTCTGTTTCTATAGTACTTTTTTTTACCCCCTGGTTAATTTTGTCAAGCTTGGTTGTACAATGGGGAAAATTTACTAATTCAACTATCTTAGTAGGCTAGATTAATTTTGTTGAAATATTAAAATATGTGATATTAAGTTAAATCTACACCCATTTGGGAACATACTACAACATTGGATTCTCACTTGATAAACGTAATTTCCAAATTGGTATCACATATCATAGATTAACTATTAAATATAATGCCCCCCCCCCCCAAAGAACAAAAAAAAAAAAAAAAAAATGTTGCGAAGATGTTATTGTCTACTTTAGGCATGGTAGGTTGGTCAGATTAAAATTGTTTTTTCTTTCATCAGACATTTTTTCATTGCTACCTTGCTGATTACTGAACAAGACCCATGCTTAATGATGTTTACAGTAAAATTTTTCTAATTTATCCAAAAATAGGAGAACAAATTTTGCATAAATTTTTACCATTTTTGTATGTTTACCAAAAATAGGTTTAGGGTAGGCGTAAGCATGAAACTGGGTTAATGCCATCACTCAGCAACCATTGACAATAGTTTTGCATGTGAATTGGAGTCCTTAGCTGCATTTGAGTACCATGGTCAACTGTATTCAGCTTTCAAAGTAGGTACTCCCAATGTGTCATTTTAGGTTATATAGATCTATATATGTTCTTAGATTTAAAATATTCTGTTTGGTTTGAACACCTATACATGTATGAAAATTATCAAGACGTGTAACATGGCCCAGAGGTATAAAGAATTGAAAAAGTAAACAATATCTGGTCAACCGAAACATTTATTATCTGCGAGTAAGCATCAATGTACACAATATCCAGTAACCACTATATTTTTGCCAATTGTATAAAACCCAATTATAAACGTAAGTTTGATATCTGTATCTTTTTTAATTATTGGTTGTTATATGCACTGACGTAACCCTCTAGTGAAAATATAGTATGAAACAACCAACAATGAATGAGTTTATTTAAAATAGAAAGTGAAATGTTTTCATGTAGAATGTTGTTATTTTCTATATGCTTTCACTTACACTAAATAAGTCAGTACAGTATGTGATTGACCATATAAATCTATTATATGTTGATCACTTCATTCATCATGTTTTCTAGTTCCTGGTAACAGGTTTTTTTTAAACATTTTTGAGAAAAAAAAATTGTGTATTTTTATTTTGTGATAAATGACCAAAGTTTGTCATTCAGAAGGTTTGATTCAAATCTTTTTTTTTTTTTTCATTAAAAATGATTTAGCTATAAAAGGCAAATTATAGAAAAATGTGTGATTGCCCTTATAGGTCTGAAAGCTGTATTTGCACATATTATCAGGCATAGTAGTAAGCACTTTAAAAAAAATCATTTCATTACATTATGTGTGACACTTTTCTTGTGACAGGAAATTGCATGCTTCCGCTGACATTAAAAGTGAATTGAATGCATAATGCAATATCGATCTTCTATACGTAACTGTGTT